GTCATAGCTTTAATTCACTTTCTTTGAATTCAGATGCCAATATGATGACGTCACAATGTCCGATCAGCCATTATGAAGTCAAAAATCGTATCTACAACTCTTGCGCTTTCAGAATATGTAATAAAAATTGGGGGTCACCTTTAAACCTAAAGAGCTATAACTGATTAAAAATAGGTCTGAATTTACCATAATTTCACTGTATAGCGGCACAAATACGCACAAAGATACCTATGTTTGATGCGCACGTACGGCATTGCTATTGGCCAAAAGATGACCAAAAAGAATGCAAATTTGTGAAAACAATGTCAGGAACCCAAAACGTGTAAAATAACGTATTGCTTTCGTACGTGCTGCGCACATAAAAATGCGCGCGCGTAGTGGAAAATTTCAAAAAACTTTGAAATGCTCAAAATGGCCAAAAACGTGCTCTTATTTAGTCAAAAAGTGATTTTGAGCATTTTAAAAGTTTGACGCACGCGTGCGCGCCCGTTAATGAGCACACGCGTAAAATTAGGGTACTGTACATTCAACAATAACCAAAAGTTCATGCTCACTTAATACGATTTCGAAATGGCAATTGGTTAGGCTGATATGATCGATAATGTAAAAACGCAAAATTGCGCGTAGATGACGTCACGCATGACTGAGCGCGTTGAAAAGCTTACCATGACTATTCCAGACCAAGCCAAATGTCCGTTGACAGCGATTGTGCGGTAAGTCGTTGCAGTTTTTGAGATATCGTGCGAACAGAAAAGGGGAGAAAGAAAGAAGAATAAAAAAAAGATGATGATCCTGACAATAACAATAGGTGATCCGCTAACGTTAGCGGATCACCAATTACTTTCCCAATACAGTATATATTCCTATCTGATACCAGCACATCCAATTGTCAAATGCCTAAAATGAAACAGGATGCATATATTTCAACATTTATTGTGGTAACATTTTGACATAAACAGGAGGATACATGCATGCCATAATGCCAATCACATGAGCAAATACAATTTTATCAGTTATGTTAATATCAGGGGAAAGTGCTTACCCCGCTATATGCAGCAATTAAATCTAGGCCGTGGATATTGTTTCAACAACATTATGTAATTTTAAGGTGTAGATTGGTGGAGCTGGCTTGACCCTAACCTTAAACTGTAGTCTTGCTATCGTAATGCAGTATGGCATGTTGGAAGAATATGCTAGTGTTAAATCTATTTTCATTTCCAACTGTGTTAATGTTAATATCTAGGGCCTCCTTATGTATCAAAGGAAAGTAATGGTCATTTGGCACACTGTACTGGCACAATAGGAAAGTGATTTCCAATCAGTGTAGCGAACTACTGTCTATATTAATTTTAAAAAAAACTGCTTGTTCCACAAACATGTTTTGACTGACGAATTAACAGAAAGTGCTTGCCCTTTAGTGTAGCACTTGTCTTTTGGCCCACTGTAGCTGGCCCAAAAGGTAAATTACTGCCACAAGTTGAGCACTTGCCCTTTGGCATACAGTGTGCTGGAACCAAACATGCTTTCAGATATAGCAACATCAGGCCCACTGTACTGGACCCCCCAATCTTTACAGTGTGCTCAATATTTTCCCTTTGGTTGGTTTCGATATTTAAGGAATTCCCTTATAAATAAGAACATGATTATTAACAGAGTTAAATATATGTGACCTTTATAATCGCATAATATCCTGTTGACTGTGGACAAATTACATACTCTTAAGTTACAGGTCTCATACACACCATTCATTAAAAAAAACCCTAAATATTATATCTAATTGTGAAACAAAATAATAAACAAAAAAATAGCAAACATCATTAAAAAATAACATTTATAGTTTACAAGTGAATATTATGTTTTAGTTACATGTAGGAAACTGTAAATTATTTGGATAATATAATCATTGTTACTTGCTCTAATCCTAACTAGGCATACAAATATACAAATAACAAAAGGCACCTCCGACATGCTGTTATCTCTGTGTAACTTCAACACATCATGGACACCGGCAATTCAAATGAGATGAACCCACACAGGTTAAATAAACGCTACCCAAGAATCAAAATGGTCAGAAAATAAGATGCTACAGCTGTCTCTTATACACATCTATGTTGCCTTTGTCAGAATTCATAGACAGTTTGGAGCTAAATTTGTTGTGCATTGTTGACGTTTTTTAAAATTTCCAATTAATTTGAATTGGTGTCACTCCAAAAATGTGTTGCAAATGGGGCCATGTTGACAATAATTTATCAAATATAATTTGTCAAATATTCACTGCTGATGGTGCCATGTCAAAAGTCATATCACCATTAACTGCTCATGGTGCAATTTCAACCTTCGTTGCTCATGGTGTCTTCCTACCAATGATTGCTCATGAGGACATGTCAACAGTCGATAGCGAGTTTTAGTTCTGGGACGAAACGTATCCTAGCAACGTATGGTAATGGACATTTCCGCTAAGCCCCGCCCCTTGGATACTGTTGCTAAGGTCCCACAAAACGACAAATGTGAATTTGTGGAACAACATGTCTGTTTGTGAAACATGTGCGTATTTCCTGGCCCTGTTTCGAATAGGTAAGTTTGCCACGCTCGAAAGGTCCATTATTTATAAAATCAAAAATCAAATTCAAGATTTCTTTCTTTGTGAATCTGAATTTATGAACCATAACTTGCAAAACAATAGGCAAAAAAATATGGATAATGTTCTGTTTAGATTTGCAACACTACAATAACACAACCCAAGCACGATAGCTAAATCAAATGAGATGACGTGCGAGCTTGTTTTTTTAGTGGTCAGAAAAGCACAGTCTGCAACAATGGATTCCAAGCTGAATGAATTCAACATTATAAATTTAATTACACTTGCACGCATGCCTCACAAAGTCAATACATCCCGTATTACTCATCTCGGAACTAAAACTCACTATTGTTCATAGCACCAGCCAACTTTAATTCCATCCCATTTTGTGTTTTCATGATGCCATTTCAACACGCATTTTTGATGGTGCCATGTCATTACCACCATGTAATAATAGATGAATGTACCTGTAACAATAAGTCACCAAGTACTCCTTGCTAGAGACAATGGGCCGATAAAAAAAAATGTTTTGCGATTTCCTTTAAAGCAGTATCACCAACTCGACTTGGCTGATAATAAAGATCTATCTATAAATATAATTGGCTGATACGGCAAGTCCGTCTGTACAAACGCGTGTTTCTAAGTGGTAGACACTGCAGGTCCATCTGTACATATAAGTGTTTATAATTGGCTGATATTGCATGTTTTAGTCTGTAAATAGAGATATTTTCTGATTGGCTGAAACTAGAAGTTTTTCTGCAAATATTTTTTTAAAGTACCTGATAATGCAGGTTTGTCTGTTCTGAGAGGTGTTTTGTGAATGATCCATCTGTACATATGGTGTTTTCTGATTGGCTGATACTACAGGTTTGTTTATATTTACAATAGGTGTTTTCTTATTGGCTAAGGCAGGTCCATAGGTGCCCCGGTGTTAGAGAACGCATTCATCAATCAACTTTGTCAAAAGCATAGTGCTTGATTGAAGTTGATGTCAACGCAGGCTGAGAAATGATGATGCTTCACTGATGTTCAATCACGTAGGGAAGATGAAGGAGAACATATTAACAACATTTACTCTTTTCTTTATTCCTGTCTTGGGCGAGGCCAACATAGGTTAATGCCTGGATGTTATTGGATACTGAAACTGACACTGGATACTGAAACAAAAAAAAAAAACATCCAAAATGATTATTTAAATTTTATTCAAAATAATGAATGTATGTAAACTTATGTCCACATTATCAAGACGCTACAGTTATTATCATTATTATTATATAATTCATTTTTTCTTATTATAATTTACCATGTAATGCTTATCAGCAGCTGAACTGGAAAACAGAATAAGGCTAAACCCAGAAGGAATCTTAATTTTAATGTAAGGGTTTGTTGGAAATAATAAAGGATGAGCTGTGCTGATACATTTCAGTGGTAAAGCACAGGAACTCATTATCATCATCATTGGTGTCTTGGCCCTCAACACGTTACTCGACGGAGCTGGCTGTCCAAAAAAGCAGTCTTCGACAAGAATTGGAAGCAGCAACGCCACAAACAGCCACTGCCTAAAACTTAACATGCGTGCCACCCCAGTTGGGATCCACCCACTGGTACACTTACCTTTTTGAGAATGTCTTCTGCCAATGTCATGAAAGCAGTCTCTACATTGATGTTTGTCTTTGCACTTGTTTCCATGAACTTCATGCCATTTTCCCGTGCAAACTACAAAATAAAGAAAAATTTCAAAATATAATTACGGTACATGCCAATCTGTATCTATGTCCGCAAAATGCATGGAGAAAATGAAGATTGGCACTGAACCACAGAACTGGCCTAGCAAAATAACGTGTGTTTGTTTGGTATGTACGCCTGGCACTGTTTTGATTGGTCAGTTGCCCAGTTTTATTGACACTCTGAAAAGGTCCATTGGGTCTGAACCACACCTTGCATCTATTGGTAGTAAAGGATGGATGGATTATTTGGAGTAAACACCAAGGATAACCTATGGAAGTCTGAAGAAGACTTGGGGTCTTTCTGGTGGAGATTGGGCAGCACACCAGGAAACAAATCTCTACTCTTTTTTGAAGAGTGTACTGCATTCTTTAACATGTACATAGGCCATAATGCACACGAAACAACGGCTTAAACATCTCATCCAAAAGACGGTACCCTATCGTAACTTGCATTTCAGCCCTCTAGCTGAAATACAAGGAAAGCAGCGATGGGAAATGAACTGGGGACCAAGAGATCTCCACAGTTCAACGCACACACAGTGGCTACCACCAATTTAGCCCACAGAGCTGATCATTATTATTATTACCATTATATGAATTTGTTGAGATACTTACCGATTCACCCCTCTCCTTGCTCACCATTCGTTTGTCATCCATATCACATTTGTTTCCAAGCAACATCTTTTCATCGTATTCATTTGCATGCTATTTAAACAATTGACCAGTGGTTATCGAGATACAAGCGTCCAAATCAACAGGCGGCCATTTTGAAAAACGCCCCCAAACGGGACTTTCCCCCAATATCTGGGAGGTATATAGGAGCTATATTTTATCTAAATTGGTCCATCTTGCCAAATCCATCGAGAAACAAAGGTATCCTAAAATTAGTCACAGATCTCATGAAAATGACTCTACTATGCATGGAGAAAGAGTGAAGATTGCCATTGAACCATAGAACTGGGCTAGCAAAATAACATGTGTGTTTGTTTGGTACGTATGTACTCCTGGCGCTGTTTTGATTGGTTAGTTGCCAACAGATCCATTGGTTCTGAAGAAGCATCGACAGCTTGTAATGATTGCAAATGTAAAAAGGGCTTTAAGCCTTACCTTGCATCTATTGGTAGTAAAGGATGGATGGATTTATTAAAACACCCAGGATAACCCACGAAAGTCTTTCTGGTCTTTCTGGTGGAGATTGGGCAGCCTACCAGGAAACAACTCTCTACTCTTTTTTGAAGATTAATTGTACTGCATTCTTTAAAATGTACATAATAATATTAGCAGCAGTGTTAGGGGTGCGCTGGATACGTTTGAAAAGTCCTTCAGAGATACAAAAAAGTAAAGAAAAATTGGGCCATATGCACACAAAACAACGCCTTAAACATCTCATCCAAAAAAGACGGTACCCTATCGTAACTTGCATTTAAGCCCTCTAGCTGAAATACAAGGAAATGGACTGGGGACCAAGAGATCTCCACGGTTCACGGCACACACTAGGGGTAATAAACATACAAATGGTAAGAAAGATTCCACAAGTAGCAAGAAAAACAACATTAGTTTAACTACTAACTGTACTGTCATCATCATTACAGTAGTAGCAAGTGGTATTACAACAATAACATTATATTTAGTAGCAGCTAGTGGCAAGAAAGATATTGTACTGGCAGGAAAATACTAGTGGCAAGAAAAATACTATTCAATTAGAGGAAAGAACAACAACATTATGGTCACAGACTAGTAACAAAGATACCAGCAACTAATGGCAAAATACCATGACAATTAGAGGCAAGAACAATGCCATTATGGTATCACCTAGTAATTCCCCCTTTACACACGATTTTTGCTAAGATTGAGCATGATTTTTCAAATTTTGAAAATTGCAGTAGCGTCGTATTAAATTTTGTATGAATCACTACGGTATCACGAATTTAGAACTTTTGAAAATCTATCATAGCCAAAATTGTGAAATGGCTGAAAGGGGCATAAGAAAGATCTAGCAAATAATGGCAAAATACCATTAGCAGCAAGAGAGACACCACGAGTAGCCACTTACTTTCTGAATTTCCCTTAGACACCTGGCAATATCATCGAATGTATTCTCTTGTGTGATGTCATAAACCAGCATGATCCCCATTACTCTGTGGTAGCTATTTGTAAATAGCGGGGAAATTGCAATTGAGCGGAATCGCTCCTGGCCTGTAGGATCCCATATTTGTAGTTGTATTTTCTTTCCATTAAGTTCCACTGTTTTGATTTTGAAATCCATACCTGTAAAATAAAAGATAAGATAAAATTAGCCACAAACGTATTTACTGCATCTCCAATTGGCAGATATAATAGACTCTCAGAGAAACAAGAACCTACTGCATGTTTGTATTAATGTTAGATGAATTCTTTGGGAGTATGGCACCAAGGTGCAAGTTTTGAGGCTGAGACTGATATAACCGCGACCAAAAGTGTATTGTACACAGTGCAGCCGAGAACCTCTGCAGAAGTGGTTATATTCCCGTTTTTACTGTACTCAGACTTGAAGTTGTATTGGCTGAAACTTTTCGCTTGAACAGGAATTGCCTTGAAATGCTAACTTGTGTCAAGACTCAAGTGTGACTGCGCACACCCGTCTGAACTTGCACCCGAAGTAACCGGATCACTGAGTAAAGTAATAACACAGCCCTTTAATTTTATACAGTAGGTGTATGCTCACTGCAGTAGACAAAAAACTTTGCCAACAAAAGTCTGTCACCAACAATTTCTTAACAACAGATTTACCAATTAAGATACCGGTATTTATTTTTTATCAATAAATTTATTTGTTGTTCAATCATCTTACATGATGCATTGTGGCATGTTCAAACAAGTTCAACTGATTAAGACAAGATTTCAACACTTTGTTGATTCAACTTACCAACAGTAGGAACACGAGAATCACATACGTTACTATCTTCGCTAATGAATTTCGCAACTAAGCACAATTTTCCAATAAAACTGTCACCAACAAGGAAAATTTTAAACATGTAATCAAATGGCTTAGACAACCCATTCCAATTTGAGTTTGGGTTCATTATGCCTATAACAACTTGTATGTACCTGCAGATATATTTAATATCTCCAAAATGATTTTACGACATGGTAGAATTTCTCAAGCATTAAAATGATCACATTGGCACTACAGGCAGTAATTACTCATCAAGTATTATGTTATGCTGTACTTTTTACAGTTAAAAATAAAATCATTTCAATGAGTGTTGTGGCAAAGACAAGAATCACTGTCAACCTGTTTCAAAGTTCTGTTTTGCTAATTTTAGAAAGGGTATTATCCAGATATTTTTAGACGTCAAAATCTATTGACCTTTGAACTTCTGTATCCTCGTATAGTTCATGCAACAACATTCATTATAATAATTTTCATATAATTTGAACTGAGCCACCACACTTGAGCTGTCAAATACTATCTATTGCCACTGTAGATTGCGAATTTGTTGAAAGGGAACTACAGAAGCTTATCCCAAACAAAGGGATTGGGTTGGCAGAAAGATGGTGCTACTCAAATAACCCGGCCTGTTCAACATATTATCAATCTCTCTATTAACTCCAAAATTTATCCTGATGAATTTAAAATTGCCAGGGTCAAGCCTCTTTATAAACTAGAACCCTGCGAGTGAGTACGTTCCTTTGTACGTTAAAAATCAATGTACACTTGTGAATTGCAATAACTTATAGTATCTTTTTGAATAATGATTGTGTAAGGTAACAGTATTTTCATTTTCAGTCAAAAAAATCAGAGGCAGATCCAGAAATTTATTCAGTTTCAGTTGCAGTTTATTTATTTGACCAAAAGATGGTCGGGGGCAGCTTAAGCAAACAAATCACTATAACTTTTTCAAGCCAGCTGCCCCCTCAGAAAGGGGAGGGGGGGTAAGGGGTTCTGAGAAGTGCAGGGATGTCGTTATGCAGGGCGGAGGTGGTGGCACCGCCCACTCTTGACGTCTTGCGCCCATCCTAAAGCTATTTTTAAGGACTTCCACCCATGCAGCCTCATACAAATTCTCCCGCACCCCTTAAAATCATGAAGAAACACAAGTTTTTTCTCCATAAACCGTATTTTCCGGTGAATAAGCCGCAAATTTTATACGCGATTTTCCCCTCGAAGTTTGGGGTGCGGCCAATACACCGGTCGTTAACCTACTCCCAAAAAGTTCAGATCACGAACCGCAGCGAAAATCAGGCGCCGTCTCTCTAGCTTGGGCCCATGCTCCTAGCCCAATTAATTAGCCTAGGCTTTGAAGGGCTAGTATTTGTCAGAGCCATATATATAAAGAGTTGCGACATTCCGCTCCTTGGTTTACGAAAGTCACGTGGTACACACCGTCCATTTTGTTTCATAATCTTCCCGATGAACACATGCAAAGTATATGTGTTATGTACATTGCATATTAATTTCACACACTTAATTGGGTTTAAAATTATATTTTATAATTTCATCGATATTCAATATTAGCGATTGTAATATTATCGATAACGTACATCTTTTAAATACAACTTATGATTAAAAATCATAACATTTAAAGTAAATTGTCTTGGTGACAATTGCATAACATATTGATTATAATCTAAAGTACCATTGCGTTGTGTCTAGCATAACGTTTAACATATTAACCTAAAATCAATCGTCAATACTAATAACTATTATTATTGAGATTGTTGGAAACCAAACTTATTACTCACAGAGTGGTGGTTACAATATATCCAACCATTTAACTTAAGAATTACGAATAATGTAGTACTATGTAATATTAACAAAAATCAAGAGAAATAAAAACATAGATGCTTACCTAGTGACCAGTCGGAAGGAGATGAAAACCTTCGCCCTGGGCTAGGCACTGGTAAGTGTCATTCATTCTCAATTGGGTAACCATGACAATTAATACCAACTGATGGTATCTATATTTACTATATTGATCAGTACCCAGAACAATGTTGTATGTCATATATGAAGCTATACAGGTAACATGAGTATTTTAAAGCTTAAATTAATTGTAAAAATGGAATTATAATAGAAACCATCAAGAGACAATATCCCTTGTCCATTTATGAACTGGACCATTCTGTAACATTATATACTAAATATTCATTAACCCTTTCCCGCCACTTGGATGAGGCGATGCCTTGACTCATCTGTTTTAGTGTGGTTATTAATTATCCAAAGTCGTAATCTAATGGGTCACACAAGGTTGCCCACTGGTAGAAGGTCAGATTCAGCAGACTAAATACTTAATAGCTGGGTTCATGTCGAACTTTTATCTATATATACATCCACTTAACTAGTTAAAAGTTCGACGTGAACCACTCAATTATAGCTAGTTAAAGGAATTAAGTCACTTAAGTTAAGTGACTTAACTTTACTAGAATAACGGTAAATTAACTTGCTTAACGGTAAAGTCGGCTCGGATTACAAGGACACGATTACGTAACGTAGGCATCTAAGCCAGCTTTGTTGTATTGTACCACCATTATCATCTTCTGGCTGGCAACAACGTACTTCAACAATGCTAACAACAGCATTGAAGTAGTCTCATTAGTCTGGTTTTCAGAAACTATTTGTAATATTTTGGGTAAACACCCAGCAAACGTCCTTTTTACGAATAGTCGATATTACCAATGACCTTTGGCCTTTGCATCATCGACCAAGTAATAACGTTAAAAAGTCCGATTGCGTACGTTTTTCAAAGTGATAATGTATATTTTTCTTAATAATAAAATCAGATTTGTTGTATTTATTTATTGACAATTCAATCTTTTCTATTTCTGCTATATTAGTCGCTATTAATTCAATTTCAACGAACTACCACCAACGCCAGGCTGGCTGTTTATCTGGCTCTAACTAGGCATCGAACGCAATTAGGAGATTATCGTATCATGTTCCAAGACGGGTATATCTAGATAAAGTTCGACGTGAACCAGGCTATTGGTATAGGGTATAATAAGCATATCTGTTACACTCACCCCCCATTCTCACTATACAATATAAGAAAATTTTTAAAAACAGTAACAGTACTTAAAAAGCTACACTAGCACAAAGACAATTATATAGCATTGTACTGACAAAGAGTGCATATCATACTATAGTACCAACAATACTAACAAGTACACTCATTCCAACTCATCAAAAGTGAATGATAGCTTAAATCATTAAAAAACTAATAATTATTTATAGATCAAAATACTGTATTAGCATTACAAGCTAAATCATGAACGTATGGTAGAACACATTAAAACTATTCATTAGAGACAACCAATTACAAAATTATCCTTACGGATCACTAATGAAGGATGGCCATTCCCCCAAAAGTAGGTACGCGAGAGTGCCCATGTACACTCAAGAAGTCTCACTGAACATCGTTATATTCTATTCCAATCTCGAACTAGGCAATCGTAGTTCAATCAACGTTTATACAAACAAGGATAGCTGACTTAATCAACTATTACAATCACTAACAGCACTGTGTAAATTAACTAATACCAGTTACATAAAGAAACAAGTTAAAAAGCGTCAAACGTATCATACAATGAAATTTCCCACAAGGGAGAATGTCAACCATTAATAAAACCTAAAAATAAAAGGCATGAACTAAATAAACTAAAATAAATAAAACATTTTGACAGTGTCTACCGTCGTTGCAATGTAAGGAAAACAAGTATTATAGTGTAGGCCCTATAGATCACAAAATACCATCAAAAACAAAACGTGAAAAAAAAATGCTTGTTGACATGAAAATTCGTAAACGGAAACCAAAGAATTAAAAAGAAGCGGAAACTATCAAATCTGTTGGCCTAGAAAAAAAAAAAAAAATTAAAAAAATTAAATGTTATGTATGGACTCATTAACACAAGTTATCTGGGGTGAGCATTTAAGCCATCTGCTGACAAACCCGTAGCGGTCTGGTGGTCGAGTAGTTCTCTTGGGTCGATTTCTCTGTCCTAGGTTACTGTCAGTTTCGACATCTGGATGAGGTGATGCCTTGACTCATCTGTTTTAGTGTGGTTATTTTATTATTATTATTATTATTGTATACTTATATAGCGCATATCAAACTTCTCTATGCGCTGAACATTATTACCCCGGATCACTGGATCAAGCACATATGGAACACACACTCAGGCCCCATTATATAAATTTAAATAATTTATCAGTTGCATTATTACACTGTTTACGTTCATCATTAAAATTTTATTTTTATTTTCACTTTCGCCAAGATGCGTTCGGAAAAATATTTAAGCTAAATAAGAAACGAGAGCATCAATAATGCAACAGCCCACTCGACAATAGCTGGCAATGTTAAGGTGCTGTCGGTGGGTGGAGGTTGTGTGGAGTGTTGTTATGTGTATTGAGCATAAAGAAAAACATGTTAAGAGTTAGTTGTATGCATCATCATAGACCTTTTTTGTTATGTTCACTTAACAGTTAGGAAAGGTGTGATGTCATGGACAGTGATATTAATGGAAATATGGTTGTTGCAAGGTTTGTTGTGTACGTAACTTTTTGAAATATTTTGTACTGTAATTATGAAGATATTTATGTAGAGGTTTATGATATAAGTAGACAGTTGGGTGAATGCTGGGTTCACTCTAACTTTCATTTTTGTTTAGCCAATTGACTAAAGCTATAAAAAAAAATTTAGCCAATTGGATATTTGTTTAGCCAAAATTGGCTAAAATGTTAAAAATTGTTTTAGCCACTTATCATGCACTTAAATGGCCCGAGTGAAGTTTCATGCAAATGTTTCGTACGGAAAAAAATCGTGGCCTGTCCATTGACATTGAAATCATTCAAGCATTCAAGTAAAAACCCCAAGCTCGAAAGCCATTATTTACCCGGCAGTCGGCTGCTTTAGTTCTGCTGTTGTGTGTGCACTTGGGGCACGCTAACAGCTAGCCGACCGTCGTGAACATAGAACTTACAAGTACAGTACAGACAGGAATTACAGTACTGCTTCGTATCTGCGCGTAACCTCTCGTAATCTGCTAGGTTATGTTTTGAACGTATCTACAAACCACTACGAAG